TTAGTATTTTTTCTCTAAAATCTACATAGTATCAGAACAAAAATAACGATATTTAAAAGTTTTTAATTTCAGGGTTTCTTTTAAAACCCTAAAATATTCTCACCACCCAGTCAAATGAAGTCCTAACCTCACTAGCAGCTTGCCGCCCTATTCCGGTGAACGTCTCCAGCCTACTTGATCTCTCTGCTCCGGCCGCACTCGGCTGTTTGCGCTGCTTCCTTGCCCATGGCCTTTGGTTTGCACTATTTTCTTCTCTGGTTCGCACACAGCCGACCCGACCATAAACCATTCCGTCGCTTATGGTTCGCTCAACGGCTGCAGCTCTTCGTTCAATTCCTTCGCGCACGGTTTGCGAACGACATCTGGCTCCCTCGGACGCAGCAACTGGTTCAGGTACGACTCCTGATTTGATCTTTGCTTCTTTGTGCAGTTTCTAATCCCCGATTTCTGTTGTTTTTGCTTTCCTGCTTCAGCTTCCTAGTGCTTCTGCATCTATGTCTGACCCGAAGATACTTGTTCCAGAGGCTTCATGGTTGCCAATCAGCTTGCTTCGGTTCTGCCTTTCACTAGATCGGGGAGAGCAGAAGGTCTAATTCTGTTATTTTCCGGTTTAGCGAATTAGATCCAGATCTGCACAGCCACTGATGCATGACGCGGCGGAAGAACATCACTGCCGTGGCAAGTTTGTTATGTTCGGAGAAGGAGCCCGGCCGAGTTTTTTTTGAGTTGAGTTCGAGCCGTTTTTGAGCCGACTTCAAAATTTTTTTTGAACCGACTTCGAGCCGTTTTGAGAAAAGTTGAGTTGTTGTCTTGCCAGACAGATCTGCTTTTTCCGTGCGGCTAGCCGTCGCGACCGACCTTTTCTTTTGGCTCCTTTGCGAGCGACCGCCTCTGATTTCGCGGCTAGGCTTCTTCGTGCGCGAGCCACTTTGACCAGCCTTTTCTGGTCCTCTTTCTGGTTCTTCTACGCACGCCCGCTTCTAGTTTCACAATCCGGTGCAGATCCGCTTCTTTTGCGTGCAAGCTGCTCCGATCGACATTCCCTATCCTTTTTCGGCTCTTCTGCACGTGCATGCCTCGGGTTTGCCGTTTGATATGCAAGTTGTGCATGTGTGATATCCCTGCACCAATTTGCGGGAGGGTGTTGAATATGATATTTTTATTATTTTAATTTATTATTTAATTAGTTAAGATGGTATAATTAGAATTCTATTAAAATAGGAATCTGATGTAATTAAGATTTTAGTAAAATAGTTATTTTCTAATTAATAGGTTAAGAATTCTATAAATATCATAAGTGTAACAACGTAAATGATGAAAAATAAAATTATTATTTTTTCTCTTAAAATTTACATCCTATCCTTGTCTGAGTCTTCTTGTGTCAGTATTAGTTTATGATTGAGATCATTGAGTATAATAGTCGACTTGTTTACGAGTTTGCCAATTTTCTTCAACATATATGTGACATATTTTGTTGGAAAATGAATATTTTTGACTTTGAATAGGTCACTTATATTCTTAGGAAATATTTTTAAGTTCTCTAATTCTTTAATCTCAAACTCTCTAGTCAGGTTGTTTGAGAGTTATTTTTTCTTCTTTATCGTTTCCTGTGACAATCTACATAGACCAGTAGGGTAGTGATTCCTTCTGACTTTGAGTGCTTGATGAACAAAGTACGATCCCCCTGACTCTGCTTGTACCCGATGGATAATATTAAATTTGAAATCTACTTAACCGTGTTTGAGGAGATTGTTTAAGTCCATACAGTCATATAATGCTTTTTTCAATTTGCATACTCTGTTTGTTCTTACTCCTTTAATAAACTCTAGGAAAATCTTAATGTAAATTTTTTATTCCAATTCTCCATGTGGAAAGATATTTTTCACATTATATTGCTAAAATCACCAATTAAAGTTAGCAGCTAGGAATAATAGGATACGTACTGTATTCATTTTTGCGATTGACGCAAATGTCTCTTGGTAGTCAATCCCACATGACTAGGTATACTCTTTAGCCACCGATCTTGCTTCTTATCTCTCTATCATTCCATCAGCTTTGTATTTGATAGAAAATACCAATTTGCAACCCATCCCATGTCTATTTGTTTCAAGTGTTTGCATTTCAATATTTATAACATTTTTTCATTCTTCACTGATTAAAGCTTCAGATAATGTTTTCGGAATAAACAGTGTATTTAGGTTCATAAGAAACCTTTTGTGAGATGTGGAGCATTTTTCAAAGGATATAAAATTCAAGATAAGATAGAGGGATGCTTATTGCAGTCTCTCGTCCACTTTCAAAGTGCAATAAGTATGTTCATATCATAGTAGATAAGGTTTTCAGAGCTTAGCTTATTTCCAGTACTCAGATTCAGATTCTTGAACTTGCTTTTGATTAGATTCTAGTTTCTTCCTTCTTGACACAGTTGGGAGACTGTGGTCTGACTAAAGCTGAGTTCAGTATCATTGTTTGGAGGTATGAGTTTAGTTTACTTTGTAGGTACTGAGTTTTTG